GTGAAGGCATTTAAATGGGTTCAGAACTTGAATTCAGTTGAAACCACTGTGGCTTTCAGGTCTACAGGGGGTCTGTTTTAAAGGACCAGTGTGTGTAGGATTTAATCAGGGGCCATTCTAGAGGGCTGGCAATAGAGTGGTCCCTAAAAAATGTCCACCCCGCTGCCACCCCAGTTTGGTGTCAAATGTAAAAAAATAACCAGAAATTAATTTAACGATCAGTTATGGCCGCATTTTAGATCAAATTAGAGAATAAGTTCAATGAAAAAAGACAAATAAATGTCAGAAGATTGTTAATAAAGCGATTTATTGATTTCTAATGCCACCTTTAGGTATTTTTATTCAATGCTTTACTAATGTGCCACAATAATGTAATGTGTTTAAGTTCAAATATCTTCATTTGGGGCAAATCCAAGCAAATATTTATATATGTGATTGTTTGTGATTAAATCAGCATACATTTCTGCCACATGAATATTTCTCTAGATCCACTCCTGGATTTTGCAACATCTAGTGGTGAAGCTGCAGATTGCAACTAACAGAACACCACTCACTTCTGTATTTGACGACCTGGGAATGAGAATGGGTTGTGGAAGAGTGTATGAGAATCATAAGTGGACGCCAAACTCACGAAAAATGCATAAGGCCCTATCTACAGCCAGTGTTTGGTTTTTTTTATTCTTTGCGGTTCAACATGGCGGATCCACGGAAGGCGACCCAGATAAAAATGTCTCATTCTTATGATTCCTATATTCAGGTGCTTAGATAATGAATACATACCTATGAATATCATATCCCATTTCTGCCAACAGATCTTCCTTAATGTTAAACTGGATCTTTAATTCTCTAAAGTACATTTTGGGTGGAATATCAGTTTAAAACTGGCTTTCACCAAGACTAAAAAAGAGGTGAAACAGACAAACGTGGCCAAAATAAAACATGATTCAATGTGAAACTAGACATTGTAATGAATAGAGAAGGACTTGAGCAGCTATTGATCGAGAGTCCTCTCGAGAAAGAGCCAGTGTAAGAACTATCCTCGACACAATTATGGGAAGTATTGAGTTTCTCGTGTCACTACTGGGACTTTATCTTCTTCTGTAAACACAAAGGAAATTCCCCAGTAAGACACACACATACACGCTCTGTCTCCCCCTCCATCGGTCTATCCAACTGAATCTCTCTCTCTCTCTCTCTTTCATTCCTCACCTCCTCGTACTGTGTACACTCGTCTCCCCATCCATTTTTACCTCTTTTGCTTTGTTCAACCCAAACTGATTCCCATCCATCAACTCGGTTGGCTAAGTCTTTGGCAGTGCGCCATGAGCAGATCTCACCCACCCCACCCTCCCTCCACCTTCACCTATCTTCCCATATATCTCAGTAGTAGAAATTGTACTGTCGTCTTCGTCTTCTGCCTGAACAAATCTTACTGTAGAGTGATTGCGGTGCCACCACAACAAGTAACTTCTGAGGATTACTGAGGCACTCAGCAGCCAATATGTTGTACTTGGACATGTACAGTACTGCATGTATATCCTTCTGTAAACACTATTAAAGTCATCACTCCAGCTGTTTCTCATACAAACAGCTTTTGATAAAAAAAAAACACAATTAGCTCAATTCTTGTCTGTGAAGTTCAGTGAGTTGAGCGTTATTAAAGTGTCCACCCACGTGCCAAGTTGAGGGGAGCAGAAGAGACGAAGACCAGAATTCACAAAGCCAACAGATTCCAGACAGGCAAACATTACAGTATATGCGTTGAACGCATAAGCATGCTCTGTTACAAGTACGCCCATACATGCACTCACACGCTAGCTCGCATTCGTTTCAATTACAGCAGCATAATCGCTGACATACATCTGCGACTAGTTTAATTACTCACAGTAATTAGCCAGAGGCAGGAGCTACCAACGATGCTCTTCTCTCTCTGTCTCACCTCTCTTCCTTTGCCTGGTTCTTTCTCTCTCAAGAGCTTTCTAGCAGTGTGTATGTGTCAACCAGCATGCCACTGTTGTATATAGAGCAGCACACACTCCTGCATTCTTATATTATGACCAGTGACTGGCATCATTTAGACTCTTTAAAGAGTTCATTCCCACAATAAAGTGACTCTTTGAACCCAGTTATGTACCCTTTTCTAAATCCCTCTCCCCCTAAAACCACCCAGCCGTGATTTCTTTGTTTTTCGAATCCTCACACACACACACACACAAATTTTTTTCTTTCAAACCTGCATCACATTGATACAAGCAAACCCACTTCCTCCCTCTGTTCAGTCGGCTAATTGAATTTGCAGCTGACTTTTAATTAAGCGCAGGGCTCATTTGCATAAAGTCGGACAATTTGCATATGGTCGACAGCCCCTCCCCCCACATGTCTGAGTGCCTGGCACAGAGCCAAGAGCAGGGGTGGGAACTGACATTGTAGAGAGAAATAAGGCGGGAGGAAGGGAAGGATGGAGGAGGAGAAGGTGAGGTGTCTGCCAACAAAGGAGAAGGGAAACAGCAGATGGGGGGGGGGGGGGACGACGACAAATGGGGACAAACAACAACTCATGCCACGAGACAGGGGAGTAAGTGAGGTAGACAACCACACACACAGTTACACACATGCACACACACACAAAAAACAAAAACAAATGTATGCACAACATGATCACCCGTGTGCATGCATGCACTCAGACAAGCATCACACAGTCGCAGGCATCTCCACAGATTTTGCAATCAAGTTAGCTAATTAATAAATCAAAGAGGAAGAAAAATGGCTCGATGCATGCTAAATAGTTACGCTTGTGTTACAAACAGGTGTTAATTGGTGGCACATTGGCTCCATGCAGATGAGCTGGGCGGACCTTGATAACAGGATATAGCAATGAGGTGCATTGCAACACATTTGTCGCCGAACATCCAGGCAGCACACAGAGGGGACACTCCAGCAGAGCTACAGCCCACGTGGAGCACTCATATTAGCATCTGTCTGTCAAAGTTCACAAATTAAAGACATAAAACTCAGCTCCTGGTCTTCCAAGTACTGCCCTGCCCAAATATACTGATATACTTATGTGACGGCCTCTTGCATATTCATGCAGTCACACATTAACCAGGATGAATATTCGTCAAAATGTTTCCTGTCTGGGGGGGGGGCCTCACTGTGCTCCGATAGGGTTTCATCCATCACACTGTGCCAGGCCTGACCAATAAGCACGCCCCAATATATTAATGCCCATCCCATGCCTAGAGTGGTGTGTCTATCTAGCAATACTGTGTTAAGGTGGATGATACGCTTGAATCTGCAGTGCAATCTGGGAGCAGAGGGGCAAAGCTGTTCAGGTTTCACCAAACGTTAAAAACAGCTGGCACGATCCAATCTGGAGCATTTACACAAGTCGATATACTCAGTGTGTAAAAACTTAATATGCATCGAAGCAGACATACAGTAATACCATTATCTGAATAACCTAGAAGCCTGAACTACAACTCTACATGTGCTTGCAGACAAACACACAACCTGTAAGCAAACACTGTGCCAACCAACACAGGTTCTTTCCCTGTCTGAGTTGCCCGACTTCATTAGTATCCAGACAGAATGCAGCTCATTAATGAATGTCATTAAGGCAGGCGGTGAAGCGCTGGGTGGCTGCCAACAGGACGACTGCTGGGTGGCATGTAGGGAGGGGACGAGCTGCGGCCAGTGCGAGTAGAGATGCAGCTGCTTCTCTCCCGGCTGTTCCCAGGGGAGATGGAGAGAGTTGGAGAAAAGGAGTATGAGAATGTCGGGGTCTCAACTTATGAGTTGAGGGTACGGGTTCGCTAGAGGGTTGGGGGGCCGCGGGTGTCGCAGGCGCGTGCCATCTTAGTACTGCGGCAGATCGGGGGGGGAGGCAGATGCCATTTTGGGGAGTGATGCAGCGAGTCGCCATTTTGAAGTGCTCTGCGTGGGGGAAAAGGGGAATTGATAAAAAAAAGCCAGCATCGGATAATGTAAACATCTAAACCATGAAGAAGCTGATTGATGAGTGTCAGGTCACTGCATGAGGTTTGTTGGGACAGGTTTGACCTCAGATCTGCAACTGGTTCCCTTTGTTTCACCAACCTACAGCGACAGACAAAGAGCATTTAGCATTTATCAGTCAGCGCACACAGACCGGACTTAACAAAGACACTTCAGGCGAGAGGAAACATCCTGATTCTTTAGTTTCTATGTTGAATAATGGCGGCTGTTCAACCTTGTCCTCCTCAAATGGAGTGAGGCTTTTGTGTCGTTCCTGTGCACAAGTCAGGCAAACACACACACAAATCTTTTTGACTTTCAAACATTAAATCCACTAACAGAAGTAATTCACACTGACAATTAGATATGCTACAATAAGCAACAACGGAATTATTCTGTCACAGATAATGTACATCCAACGTGTCAACATCTCCAGTTTGGACTTCTACACTTCTATAAATCACGCCTGGGTGAATTCCACAAACATGAAAATCACAACAATTGTAGACGTTTTTCCATCAGCGTGTTAGCTCCGTCTACATTCTGCTGCTCCAGTACCTCGGCTCGCTGACGTCTGCACATCCTCACGCTGCTCCACGGCCTCGTCTGGAGCTCAGGACTCGTTTTCTCCTATCTCCCTAGCTAAAGGAAAACACTCACTTATGCATTCAAGTAATTAGTGCTAATCAACCATGCACTGACCTAGCAGGCGGCCATATTGATTTCAGAGGCTAATCAAGGAAAAGCTTAATGACACGGCAATTAAAGTGCTCCAGTATATGAATTACACCTGCGATTAAAAGCTATGGGGATGCAGTGCAGTATAAAACAATCTTAAGTGTCGTTTTCTGCAGTGTATACAGTCGGAGGATATGAGCTGATGAATTTATGTCGTCTTGTTGATGTTAAGCTCCTCTGCAGGCTGGCTGTGTAAAATGTATTGACGGGGGGAAAGAAAAATGTTCTGTATATCAAAAAACTAAATTAAAAAAAAATCAAAGAAAGTATATATTTACAACTTTAATCTTTATTTCTTTAAAATAAGATAAAAGGAAAAATTTGTTATTATCATAATACAAGTACAAAAAAATGCATCAGAACACAGAAGAATATACAGGACAGAGCATGACAGTGACAGCTTAGGGAATTATATATGGTTCAAACAGATCCTTGGTATATTATGGAAAATAGAAGAAAGGAGCGGACTGGTCAATTGAAAACTAGATTTCTTTTCCAGATAAACGAGGGAAAAGGGTTGAAAAATATCTAAATGTAGCTCGACTTGGCGCCAACAAACCTGCTCTCTTTCCAGTTTCAGCCAACATGCTAGCAAACATTCTCCAATAAATAAGGCACTATGATGGGCCCAAAAGCAGTAAAAAGTATGTGTGTGTGTGTGTGTGTGTGTGTGTGTGTGTGTGTGTGTTTGTGTGTGTGCGTGTATGTATTTGTGTGTGGGTGGATAATCTGAAGAAGTGGCCCACAACTAATGGCAAACTTTCACATTTTATACCGTGCATAAATACTTTTTCATCTTAAATCACTCTTAAGATATTTCTATTAATAAACAATGACATTTATTATTGGGAATTTAAAAAAGATGTCAAGGGCCTGACATCTATATTTAACATGAAATGAACATTTAACAGCTAAAGCGAAACACAGCTTGTGACAAAAAAAAGATAAACTCAAACATACGATGTGCTTATTTGATAACCTTTTTTTGTTTTACTATGAGGAGAGAGCTGAATGACGCTGCATCACACAGACAGACCGGTGTGTCTGTATGTGTGTCACGTGTTGGGAAAAGTGCTGCCCGGCATCCTTTCCATCACGCTTGTCAATGACAGACTATGTAGTGATCAAGTGCAATAATGAATATCATCACTTCCCCACATACGTTGATACAGCGGCGTGCATAAAGACAGAAAACGGTGCTTCTGTTAGGTATGAATTCTTATAAGCACTGCTAAAAAACATCAAACTTAAAGTAAAAGTGGACGAGATTAACATGTTACTGAGGAAGGCGATTCTGACGTTGACGGATATTGAGCGTCAGTCCGTTCTAGTTCGGCAGATGCCTAATCTTTGGCACCCCAAATAAAAACCGCAAAGGTTAACTGTAAGATCTGGAAGCAGGTAAAAATCAAGCTGCTGCACGTTACAAAGAATGAAACTTCTCCTTTGACTCTTTGTCAGCGGTAGTGAGAGGATAGAGTTTGTTAATGAGGCAATAAACTGACATGAACGGTCCGTTCGGCTGCCGAAAGTCATTGAAAATAAAGTCCCTCTGGCAGGCTTTTAAGTTTCTATCCCACCTATGAGATGGGGGTGGATGGAGTGGAGGGCTGGAGTGGTGGGAAGACTGTCAATGAAGATTCAAAGTCTCATAGCAAATGAGTTACACCCAGTTGAGGTCAACTGCAGCGAGGGGCAGGTGGCGTCTACATCTCGTGGGCGGCAAGATGATGTTCTGGGATACCATTGGCATGAGCCATCACCGTGTTATTCTCATTGAGGCGCCTCACGCGATACATTTCATAGTGGATGCTGCTGGTGATGTCCTTAATGTTCTGCATATGGGTCCTGAAAGAAACACACATATACACATCCATAAGAAACCAACAGATGAGACAGACAGACGACACACTTCACTCTAATATTTAAAAGGCTAAAACATTGTTATTTCACTTGGATGTTTGACCTTTTGAAATATGATGCATGTGCAGTGTTAGAGTTTTTACATTCATCTGCTTCGAAGAGAAACATTTATCTGTGATTAACTTTAATTTGTTAATTAAAGAAAACTGTTAGGGGTGAGAACAATTTCCCCTAGGGGATTAATAAAGTATATATTCTTCTTCATCTTCTTCTTGAAGCCAATCGTGGTCCAATAAACAACTTATAGAGGTGTTACATGGAAACTTGAAACCTCCACTGCACATACACTGAGAGACATCTTTTGTCCAGCAGTTCAGATTTGTAATTAAAAATATTTGCTTATTCATTTGGATTCTGGATTCCTTAATGGGGTTGAAGGAATAGATGCATTTCTTAGGAGGTTTTTTCTCGGTAATTGAACTTCATGGTGGAATAACCATATCAGATGCATATTAACATTCAGAGCACACAGGGACACATGGTTGAAAAGAGACAGAGACATACTGATATGGAAACAAAATTCCCTCACCTGATGAGGAGATCCCGTAAATAGGCAAACTCACAGTGGGCTATGTTCTCAACTAAAGGAGAGAGAGAAGTTATGAGTTATCAGAAATAATAGTAATAGTAAAAAAAAAAGTACCAAAAGACAGACAGTATGATTGCTGGGAGCTGTTTTGTTGCTATAAAGTTTCATAAAGGGTCCACTAGGTGGAGTCAGTGATCTTAATGTGACGTCCCTGTAGACTCAGAGATACTGTATGTTGTCTCAGCACTCACACAGTCCCTACAATACAGATCTCTGTTGCTAAATTCGTCTACATAGAGTCCTTCTGAAGAGATAAGAGACAATCTGCTCAAATAAATCCTGCCAGACAAGTGTGTGTGTGTGTGTGTGTGTGTGTGTGTGTGTGTGTGTGTGTGTGTGTGTGTGTGTGTGTGTGTGTGTGTGTGTGTGTGCGTGCACAGCACACTGCAGGAAATGAAACTTCCTTAATGAGACACTTGATAGAGGGGTGGTGCCTCCTGTCTGGAGTGGATAACATAATTAAATATTGAAAGATGAATCCTGAAGTGAGAATGGATGTTAAGAAAACACTGTACTGGTACACTACTGGCCCACTGATAAAGCTGAATAACAATAACACAGCAAAACAAAACAAAAACAAAACCAACAATTAATAATCTATTAGGTTTTTTTTCACTAGATTTTATCAATTGGAACAAATACAACTGCACTGATAACGTTTCCCCCTCATCAACATATTTTATTTCCTTTGTGAGCGTCCACAGTGTATCCTTTGTGATCCAGTACGAGATGTGTGGGGTGGGGGAACCAAGTACATAAATCAGGCCTCCTCAGACGGACTGTGTCTGCTGGAGGCCTGAGCCAGCTGCATGGCACACGACACCAGTCTAAAAACTGAATGGAGTATTGTTTGATTGACTCGAGTAAGGTCTTTACCCATCTCCCTTTTGTCTTTTCTTCTCAACAAAACCACTTCCAGGTTACGTGCACACTGACAGATTGTGTCCTGAAAGTATCTCTCAAAACAAATCTAAATAGAACAACAGAAAATGGAAAACAGGGACTGAAACTGAAGAAAAGAAAGGGATAGAGTTGTACCTTCAATGGTTCCCCACTTGGTTTTCCTCCCCAGCAGCCTCCTGCCATTGACCTGGTACTCCTGGTCGCTGCCCACCACAGCAAATGGGATCATCTCCTGCTCAAAAGGTTCAAGGTCAACAGACAAGGGAGTCACAAATTATTTGAGTTAAGTACATTAAAAATGACTATGAATGGATTATGTCCTCGGTGCTCTGTTGAAAGGCATGTCCGAGCATAAATGAGGATAATGGAGTCCCAAGTGCTGCCGCATCTGTTAGGGCCAGTGCTTAGAAATGATCCTCTCACCCTGATCTTCTCGTTGATCATTCTGTCCTCGGCATCCTCGTCAAATTCTTTCTGAGGGTACACGTCGATCCCGTTGGCTCGCAGCTCTTCCCTGATCTGGTGGAGCGCATGTTCAAACATAAAAAAGAGGAACAAAACAAACTTTTAACCCACTACAGTTCTTAAGAGGGTACACAGTAAGGCCTTTAATTGCAGGCGTAATTGGGCCGACGTGTTTGATGCAGTCTTGAGAGACATCAAACAAATGTAACTAAATCTGCGCAGTGTATAGATTAACACGGTATTAACACTAATCTGCCTTCTAATCTACTCCAAAAGTTGGGGCTTAGTCGTTAATTGCCCTCTGTGTACAAACAAAACAGAAACCTCGCAAGATGGATGCCTATGCATAAACCTGTGCACACACAAGTCTGCCATGCACATATACAAACACACGCATGAGCGCACACACGTATAAACCAAGGGGAGTTTATCCTCCTCGTTGCTAATGAGAGGAGGGGAAATCCTGAGATCCTTGAAGACGCTGCCAATAAAAACACACAAATGAACGGCTGTAGCCTTATTAACTGTGTGGAGGAAGTGTAGAAAGTAAAGAGTGGAAAAGGAAGAGAGGGATGCTCTTGAGCTCTTGCTGGAATGTAGCCATGTTTTGTGACCATCCAGAGAGCGAGAAGAAGGGGACCACCGAAGAAAACCACAGGAACGTATCCTATCTCCGGTTACTGCACCACATACATGAAAAAATACAAGCATGGAGAGAGAGAGAGACAAAAAGAGGATGTTTCTGAACTATAGATGCGGATTTAATGGGAGAAAAAGGAGAAACTTGAGATAAAACAATACAGAAATCTATTGAACTAAAGACGAGATGGAGCCAGAAAGATGTTACCTTCTTTTTGAAGAAGTCCCTCTCCTCCAGGGTGAGCGTGTCTGCCTTGGCAATGACTGGGACAATGTTGACCACCTTACTGAGACGTCTCATGAATTCTACATCAAGAGGCCGCAGACTGAGAAGGAAAGAGACAACATGAGAGAGAGAGAGCGAGAGAGAGAGTGAGAGACAGAGAGCGAGAGAGAGAAAGTTGACATTAGATATACAGACATGAATGTGAAACTGAACTAAATTATGTGTAACACGAAACTCTTCCACCAGGGGGCAGGTGTTTCTAACAACTTTCCCACATGGGAGGAACTACTGTGCCTACTAACATACAGTATTTACAGTTCTAACTGTTGTAGCTGTGACCTGATCACACTATACAATGTGTGTCAACAGCTGCTTGATGAGGTTGAAAGGACTTTTTCATTTCCCGTAGTTTAGACAAAAGCATCTGCATGTGGTTAATGGCAGTGGATTCTGGCCTGGGCTAATAGCACTTTGACAAAGACTGGCCATTGTCAACCAGAAAACCTCGTGCACTCGTGCAAGAGCATGCTGAAAAAAGACAAAAGTGCAAAACTGACTGCATGCTACCAGACACCCACACAGACCGTCTCTCTCGTCCTTCCTGCCTCTCTCCCATTAGACTTTTTAAGGCAAACCCTGAGCAGCTGCTGGCCAGCCCATGTGACATCTGCAGTGTTGGATCAACATGAAACGTTGCTGGATGGGGTACAGAGACAGGGGGCCATTTCACACCAGTCCCCCTGCCTGAGTAAAGACAGGCCATGACACAAAAGTACAGCGCTTGAATGGTACGCTATAGTTAACGGTGTGTGTGTGTGCTTTCTCAAACAAGGCAGACAATCCACAGCTGCTCAACATTTTCCCAAGACTAGCCACTGCACTCGACTAGAGTTACACAAATGCAAAAGCTGTAAAATGAACAGTGAATCTATCAGTTGATGGACACATGAGACTGTGTATGCACCCTCCCCCTAATATCTTCTGCTAGTACACCCCAACCCCCTGAGCTGCGAACAGTGAGGGGCTGAACCAACACAGTGTGGAGAGGGACGGCAGTTTATGCAGTTCGATCAGAGCCAGATGTGTGTCTGTAAGAGATCCAGGAAGAGAAACTTGGGACATTGTGCTGCTTCAGAGCCTGGCGTGTACAGCCCATCTTTACAGCGTGTGTGTGTGTGTGTGTGTGTGTGTGTGTGTGTGTGTGTGTGTGTGTGTGTGTGTGTGTGTGTGTGTGTGTGTGTGTGTGGTGAACTTTGATGGTGTTTTGGGATATGTTGCATAGTCCTGAGCGGAAATGTGCAGAGACGTGAGTGTGTGTGTTCAATGTCAGGGTTAAGGGAGCAGAGAGATGTTTCTCATTACTTCACAGACTGAAATAAAAATCTGTATCAATGTAGGATCCATTAACGCATCGTCGCTGCCTGTAAAAATGGCAGTTGTTGTTCCAGTTGATGTATTTTAAATGCATATTGTCACATAAGGGCAAATAAGGTCAAGTCAACCAACATTATTAAATGACTTGACTGACAACCAAAGTCACCATTTGGGGGGGGTTTTTTTTTTTTTTTCTGTTAGATGAGATTGATACCACCCACATGTCTGTACGCTAAACATGAACTTATTGCCAGCAGCTGTCTAACTTAGCCTCGTACAAAAACTGGGAACAGGAGGAAAAGAGTGACTCTGGCATGCAAATTGTCATTCTAGCCTTTAAGCTAATGTTAAAGGCATCCTGTGGAAGAAAAACAGTGCACTTTGGTGAGTAACAATCAATGTAAAAATAACTTTTGTTTACAAGAAAACTCCATCTTTTTTATTTTTATTATTTTTAGTTATTTCTCAGGGACAGGGCACATTAACAAACATTGCTGTAAATATGCCAGAATATGGCTAGTTTCCATGCAAAGTTAGCTGGCTGCTGGAGGTAGCTTCATCTTTACAGCACAGACATGAGAGGCATGGTTTTAATCTTCTCATTTAACTTCGTATAATGTTGAATTATTCCTTTTGGTGTCCAATTTCTTGTATTCTTTCTGATCTAAGTGAACTGATGGCAGCCCTGATATCATTGCAGTGTTGTTGTGTTGGGCACTGACAAAGAAGAACTAGTTTAGGTGCAGTTGTACGTGCTTGTGTGTCTATATTTAACCATGTTTGAATGAGTCCTTACCAGTGTCCGGTCGGGGGGATGAAGTATATGCAGCAGTGGACTCTGGAGTCTGGAATCCTTTTCTTCCTGTTGATGTTGATCTCCTCTTGCAGGTACGCCTCGTACTGGTCATTAATGAACTTCATGATGGGCTGCCAGCTAGAGACCGCGGCAGGGATGGATTGAGGGAGTTATGAGGGAGGAGAGGAAAGGGAAGAGATGGACAGATATTAGAGGAAACGAGGAAGCAGCAGGAGGATGGGTAAAGAGAATGAGACAAAGAGTGAGGAGGAAGATAAGGATTTAGAGTGGAGCAGAACAGGAAAATGAAGGAGAAAGGGAGGGGCATATGATTAGACACAATTTAAATCTTTCTGTTTATACAGTCAATGTAATGATGGTGGAATTGTAGTGTACCAGTTCTCATTGTTGATCTGGTCTCCAAAGCCTGGTGTGTCAATGACTGTCAGCTTCATTCTCACTCCCTTCTCCTCGATATCTGCACACAAAGAAACACACATAAGGTCAACCAGTACCAGCACCAGTGTATACTATGATGTCAAAAACACCCTGGAAACTTTATAAACAACTACTGAACCAGGCATTGTGGATGGATTGATTCAAAAACTGATAATCTGTAATGTGAGGCCAAGAATACAGTATATTCAGAGAATGCTTTAGCAATGATTGTATAGAAACTAAAAAGAATTAGAATTAAAGAAAAGAAGGAATTAAAGTAGAGAGAGGGAAAGATATGGTACTGTAATTGTTTGGAGTGACTTTGCCACGGCTGTCAAAGGGAAAAGTGTTAATACAGAAGGTAAGAGAAGAAAAAGTAAAGAGTGTGAAATGGGTGTGACAGACCTACAGAAACAGCCGGACAGAGAAGAAGGGACACAGAGATGAGTAGAGGGTTTCAAAAAGGGCCATACCGTGACTGATGGACTTTATTTCGATCGTTTTGGGGATCTTCTCCTGGGCCGTCGCCAGCACCGACTTACGGCTGACTTTAGACTTGAACAGCGTGTTCATCAGAGTAGACTTTCCCAGGCCGCTCTGTCCTGTAAGCAAAAACACGGTCAGAGAGACAGTGAGAAAGACACGCATACACCTCAAGATGAAAAAATAAATAAATCTTCTACAGTAACTGCTTACACTGCAGGTACCTAACAGTCTACACACTGTAACAATGGTGCCATAACAAACCCAAACAAGACACAGTGATTATTTTTCACGACAGTTTAAAAATGACTCCACTCTGTCAGTCCGTTGGGCTGAAACAGTGACAAGCTGCAGGTGTCTGTCTGCACAAACACTGCCAGCAAAGCCATCAGCATGCATGAACACAACCTAAACATAGCATCCATAAGACAGATTGGATCCCTACTATGTATACAGTTTTGTTTCTAAAACAGCCAGGAGGCTTGGATTAATGTGGCTTAATGATTAATGTGAGTGACCAGAAATAAATACATTCTCTGTACATCACAAAACAATCAAATCCAACAGTCCCACAATAGTCCCTCTCTGTGAATCATCAGTCTGTCTATATGGATGGGACCATCTGTGACCCCTGCACATAATGCTAACATCACTGCAGGTTAATGAAGAGGAGTTTGGAGGGGCCCACTGGGCGATCATTCACAGTTCAACTTCAGGTTAAGTCAACATCGAGACCTTTACAGATTTATGAAGATGCCCACTCAAACTCAGTCAAATATACAGGCAGTCAGCAGCAGGTTACATGCAAACATGGATTTTTACAACCAGTAAAACAGCTGCAGATTATAAAAAAGGAGAAAATGACTTCAGCTGGAAGTTTAAGAACGGATAACGACTATCAAATACAATGCTGTATTTCCTGAAGTGCCTCAGTCCAACATTCTCTAACTAACAACCATCACTAACAGAAATGTGGCGCCAAAGACCCACGCTTGCTTATGCGGTACGCCACAGAAGTGCAGATTTACTTTAAAATTATGACTCAATTAATCTTGTGACAAGGTTTTTTCACAATGAAAAGAGGAGACTATTAACCTGACTAAATATCTTCATAACATCAATGATAAAAAAAGAAAATAATGTGTCTTCATCATCGTATACACACTTCAATTTTTCTGTCCTCCCTCTTTTTCACCCAATTCTGCCCAATAAAAAAAGGAAAAGGGACTCCACCTGCTCTGAGTATGTTGCTTTCACCTTTTGTCCTCAAGCTAATACAGCACTTAGTCATCTATATGAAATCTCTGAAGAACTCTCACGACCATACAGATACCAACCCAATCATCCAATTTTAAAATGCATCACTCCTTCCTGCTCTCTCTTTTTAACTGGTGGAATATAATTTCACCCGAATGCAAAAACCACATGGGAGACCAACTTTGTTCACTTTTGTTTATCATTGCCTCCACAACCTTACACAACTCGATCTCAACCCAGAGGCAAGCTGTTTTTAATTTGAGGATGAAACACAGACCAACCCGTGCGACACCATCAAGAGGAGACATACAGTAGGGAGGTGGCGTGGGTTTTATGGTGGCCTGTCTACTGTGGAGGGGTGTGTGTGTGTGTGTGTGTGTGTGTGTGTGTGTGTGTGTGTGTGTGTGTGTGTGTGTGTGTGTGTGTGTAATTAGCGCCTGTTTTAAAAAGGTGTCTAATCACAGTGATGAGGGCTCAGTGAGAGTTTCTCCTAAGTCCTACTGTGTGAGGCTGCTTATTAAAATAAGTTTGAGGCCTCCATTTTCTCTCACAACTTGATTAGAGAGAAAACCTGAATAACAGGAGACATTTTTTTTAAAACAGTTGACTGAAGATGTTTTGAGATAAACACACATTTAAGCGTAATGGCAAACAGATTGAGACCCTTTCAGTTCACAGTATGTTATTATGCACGCAGCCTGATAATGAGATTTTGAGCACAATCCCTGAAACAGGCAGACATCTCCATTAACAACCCTCCATTAGCAAGAATCCCTACCTTTAGGGCAGAACTGAAAGTGAGGCAAAGGCAGGTATATTTCTAAGGCCTAAACTCCATGTCTTTTTGTGTGTTTGGATCTGGACAATGTTAGCTATAGCGTACAACTTTTGGTACTCACCCACGACCATAATGTTGAGCTCAAAGCCCTGCTTCATGGCCTTCCTCCTCATCTGCTCCAGAATGGCGTCAATGCCCACATAACTGAAGTCCACCGCAGGGCCACCAGCCTTCTCCCCATGAAGTCCACCCACTGCTGGGGACACCATAGCATCCGGCACCACCGCCTCAGACATGGCACTGCTGCTGTAGCTGGAAATCACTTCCGGCCCTGATTTGACAGAGAAAAGAGAAAGAGAAAGAGAAAAAAGATTAGAGGGAATGAGATGAGGTATGAT